ATGTATCTAGCCTTCAGAGGCCAGGCACAGATCGACTCCATTTCTGTACATACTCCAGAAAGCCCTCTCGCAGAAAAAGGCTGGTATTATCTTTTGGGTATGCTTGCTTTGACTAAATATCGTTCAGCGAAGCGAGTGAGTGCTGGCTCGCAAACAGATGACTTGAAATTCGCGACATATTTCATGAAACTTCAGCTACAATATACTGTGGATAATTGGGAAGCCTGGTACAGACTCGCACAATGCTATGATCTAGAGCTCGAGGAAGAGGTCTCGTGGAGCGCAGATAAAATGAACAATGATAGACCAGGTTTGGTTCGATTACAAAAGTGTTCTGTTCATTGTTATATAATGGCGCTCTCAACAGCAATGCGATGCGCGGATGGTTCATTTGGAACGGCCGAAAAATTATCTGACATGTATCACGACTTTGGGATGCGTCTCTATGCATCATCTCGAGAGCCATTTAGCATGGAAGTGTTCTGGGTAGAGGAAGAAAAGCATATGAGCGGGTCGGAAGGGATGTACAAGAAGATGCCTTTCGAAGAAATGAGTCCTTACAAGTTGTGGAAGTATGCATCGGAACTATTTAAACGCTCTCTGATGGATCGCCCAGATTTCTGGATGTAAGTTTATGTTTGAATCCGTGTGAAAATCAGATGCTAACATATCTAGGAACCATTTCATGCTAGTAAAATGCCAGTGGAAGATGATAGGGATCGCCCGAGAAGAATGGCCTACCAATCCTCCAGCCAATGTTCCTACAGTGGACATGGTTCTGAGTACTTTGGTTCGAGCCATAGAATTATGCCCGAAACCAACTAAAAGCAGCCAAGAACCTGTTCTGGAACCTCATTATAAGCTTGTCTCTCTTGTTCACAAGCTGGTGGCGCGAAAAGAAATGGAATTTCAAGATGCCGCCAAACTTTTACAGGACCAACCTTACGGCCCACGAAAGAGTGATCCTTTTGTGATTGAAAGCGATGAAGATTGGGAAATTTTCATCCTTGCGTGCTTCCGTCAATTGCGAAATTCAGATAAACAACACTGGCATCATCGTATGATTGCTCGTGTTGCTAACATTATTTACGATGAGTCAGATCCGGATTATGTTCAAGCTTGTGCTGCTCGCATTGAATTTCGAGAGTCCATATTCACCAAGGCCATGTCGATGCAAGTTTGGAAACCGGAGACGGAACGACCAGGAAGGCATTTTGTCTACATGAAACGTTATGCTTTATTCATGGCCAGGATATTGTTTCTTATCGGCGACAAAGCAAATATGGAATTATTAGCTAAGAGGGTGAGAAAGCGAGCTCTCGACTACTTCAAATTTAATGATGTCTGGAACGAATGTTGTACAATATATCTTAGGCTTATTCGTAAAGCAGCTGATATACCTGCTAATGTCGACGAAGTGTTCAGAGGGATTTCCCAGGAAGTGTTTGATGCGTACTCAGAACGCCTTGATGAGTCTATCAAAGATGGTAGTCTTTCGCATCCAGCTCTTGATGCTTTGCGAGAGACTATTGAGTTGAAGAAACTTAATAATGGTCTTGCGAAGATAACCCCGATCGACGACATGATCAATGATATCTGGGCAGTTCTTTACATCCAGGTTGTGAGGGACACTCCTGCTATTGATGTAGCGACTTTACAACAATCTCAGATAGACGGAGAAGCTGCAGCAAGAGCATCAGGTCCGATGAGTCTGAATCATGTTCTTATGAATACAGATTCTAATATCTCCGCTCCACCTCCTATAGTCGAACCTCCTAGACCTCGCAAACTCGGCATCAACCGCAAGGCAGTTATTCTAAGGGCCGAGCAATCTATCCACCGTGCCGCAGATGCGACTCGGCCTGCTGTTGCTTCGCGTCCCAGGAATGCCGCATCATCTTCTGTTTTACCATCGAATGCATCGCCACTCATTTCATCTGCACCGAGAATTGAAATACCCCTCGCAGCACCCCAGCAGAATTCAAGAAGAGAGGATAGCTCGGCACCAGGCAGCGTACACGATAGTGCCGATGACGAGAGTGATTTGAGTGATGTTCCTGATATGGACGATATGGACATGTTCCCGAATCTGATGAGAAGAGTCGAGAACGGTAGCGGGAGCGGAGGAAATACTCCCGGACAGGGAAATAATAATTGATCACGTTTTGGTAGGGTCTTCGTTCGATGGGTGAAAAATTCACATGTCTGCGCTTTTTTTGTTAGGAGTTTAAAATATGGGAATACCCCACGGCTGGGCATCAGTCCTCTAGCCTTGTACTGTTCAAATACATACCTACCTCGTGTACGATACAGAAATTAAGAAACGAATTAATGAGCTTCGTTTAGTCTTTTACTTGACTTCTCTTTTGGTGTCTGGTATTTATTTGATGGCAGGAATGAATGTTAGTTACGTTTAATCAATTGGTCCCAGAGTGTAGACATCTCATGAAAATCATAAATCAGGGAAATATGAGGTGATGGTCAAACTAACTAGGTAAGGAGGCGAGGGGCAAGAATCGAAATATTTAACCAAAGGATCTAATATAATAAGTCCAAGGGAACTTTTCGATTATCGAAAACTACCTAGGTACCTAGTAGGCTTACACATTGAAGATGACAACATCTAATTTTTAGATTCCGATGCGATCCGAATTGCGGATTGCCAGTGGTCAAAGTGGACAAACGGTTCCTTAAATTACCTATGATAGATATATTTCCCTGAATTGATGTATTGACAGCTAAAAATAGGTACCTAGGTAGGTAGAGAAAAGCTGGAAGGAACCAACTTCACCAACCCCAATTCAAATCAGTGTGTCAAATAGTCCAGACTGCAGTTCAACAATAGGAGGAGGTTGATTATTTCAAGTGGTTTGGGAGAGTGAAATGATTTAAAGGTTTGAATCAATTTGAGACAATGTATTTATTTAAATGTTCAACCCATTCTTAAAGCTTCTATATACAGATATTTGCTGGGAATTGACAGTTGGTTTGATTGATACGGGAAACCCGGTCGTGATGAGGGAAATTGCTTTCTTTTGGCTTTGCTGCGATCGAGCAGCAGCAGCAGCAATCCGACATTTTGTCCCATCCCACAAAACGAAGCCCAGCTTCTCGATTCAATCCAACTTTTGGTAGCTTGGATGTGATAGCAGAAACATTGAGTTTAGCCAGTTGGCTCCAAAGTCCAGGCGCTTCATAGAGACCCAACAGCGATCATACACCCTTCTGCCAAGAGGAAAAATCCAAGCGGTCCCGGACCGTAGCCTGCAAATTGCCTGAAATCAGACAAAGTCCCTGGGAGATCCATGATCATGTAATGGTAGGATGGATTGTTTAAGTGCAGAGATTTGTTTCGATGAGTATTGATCCGATCCCTCAGTCCTCTGACGCCGGCTGCCATTCCACCGTATACTTTCATGTGCTTCGATCGACCCCTTAGGGCGACCACTGTGAGAAAATTGATATACAAGCCTTTCTCGTCACCTGTCGACGGGACATGTGGCAGTAACTCAGCACCAATGTCTTGCCATCCCTCCCCGTACAGAATCATGTCTATCGTCTTGCCAGACCATCCATCGATGATCCGTGTTGCAAGATCCAAATCAGTCCCTTCATCAAGAATTGCCTTGACTTCAGGACCAGGAGATGTCAAGTACAGTCCACTGCGAACAAGTGCTAGCCATCCCAGTATCAAGTCCATAGCTTTACTCTTATCATCAAGTTTCGGGTTCTTCTCAAAGAGTTTCACCGTCATCGTAAAGTTTTCAATGGCGGCGGCGTCTTCTGCTTGCATGACAGCACCTTTGACTTCGTTCTTAGCCCTCTTTTGACGAGCTCCTGCTGCAGTACTCAATGTATGGTTCATCTGTGTCTGCAGAGCATCTGGGAGTGATGTGGATGTCCTAATATTCCTCGTGTTAGTATTAGATCGGATGCTCGGAATATTAATACTAACAACTCGACTAACTCCATTCCGGTGTCACTTTTCACAAACGTTTTTCCCTCTTGAGAGCTTAAAGCTTGTCTTCTTCGTTTAGCCCAGGTTGTCTGCTTGGATAGTGTGCGCTTCATGCTTCCCGGTGTCTGTTGATAGTATCACTAAGGAGTTGTGGTAAGTTGTTGTTTTTGTTGGAAAGATTTTCTTGTGTGGAAGAAGAAAATCTTCTTGTAGTAAAATTGGTCGAGGAAGGAAGCATGAGGAGGTGACTTGGATATGTTGTTGAGTGACGGAAGGTGATATCACCTCTTGACCTGACTTCAGTTCTTTCCTTTCGTTCTCCAACTTCTACTCTTTCATTCGCCCCTTCCCTTCCACCGAGCAAACAACTTTCTGTGACGTACTATCCACCGTCTACCATCGGCCGTTGACCCATCCATCCACTCTATCCCCCTCTCCTTCCTCTCCCTCCATTTTCAATTTTCCTCTCCCAATACTTCCATCCAACCAACTCTATTTTATACACTCCCCTTCAAGCTCCCCTCCAATATTAGATTATGAGTAAGAATAGAACTGTTGGTATCACCTCGGATGATGATAATAAGATATATTATGAACTGTATCATTGTATTGCTTGATAATGTTCTAGAGCTAGGGGCTACGAGGGGCTTATATGCCCGCGGAGTGACGAGTGCGGTCACGTGTAAGAATTTCTTATAGTAATTCTTTAAATACCATAGGGAATCACTTCAATCCCTTAGGGAATCACCTTAATCCTTTAGGGAATCACCTTAATCCCTTAGGGAATCACCTTAATCCCTTAAAGAATTACTTGTGGTAACCTTCCCTAAATACTATGAGGACTTACCTAAGTAGTACTCAAATCCCGTGGGGAATTGGCGATCCATACCCACGTGATTATAACTTGATGATTACGCTAGTAGTCACGGGATGGGGTGGGGGTTCATTCTTAACCGAATCCTCTTGCGGAGCCCTCGAGCCCCACCATACTGCTCAGCCGACTATACATATATGCGAATAGTTATTCCCCATCATCAAAACAGGCCGGATAGTGTAGTTGGTTATGTGAGTATTTCCCTACTTCTTCTCCTTCAGCTCAACAGCTAATCATTGAAAAGCGCGTGTCCTTTACAATCCATCTGAGATTCCAAACGGACAAGGTCCGGGGTTCGATCCCCCGTCCAGTCAATTTTTTTTGTTTTTTTCGTGTTATTTGGACATGTTTTGATGAAATGGTGGTCGATAAAGGTTGATGAAAGAGAAAAGAACATTTTTTTCTCGCTTGTGGCTGAGGAATTTTTGGTGGGTAAAATAATGTCCGTGCACATCTGCCAAGAGCTACCAGACTCTCCGCTGGATCTTCGAGGTGGACCACACAACTACAACTACCGGAGGTATAATAATTGCAGACAGAAACTCCGATCACTAGATGTGAACTGGATATTTTTTAATTGAACTTAGTAATTAATAAGTCTGAAGGAAGCAATTACACTTGTAACAAATACATGATGTATTTGGTAAATCACATTTCAATCAGAAATTTGATCTTTGCCGGCCATTTAAGCTCCATGGTTGGTTCTGTGCCACACAGGATAAGACCATATCCGTGCTGACGTAAACATGAACTAACTGACGCTCAGCTCACTCTATGGTACATACTAGGTACCTAGTGAAAGCTTGAGGAGTCTCGATTCTACCATAAGATAGAATTTTGATACGCGTACCCGTAGAAGATTGACATATTTACAGTTTTTGTTGCATGTCTAAGAAATGCCGAAGTTATCCGTTCCTAAAAGAATCTTTCATCTTTCATTTTTTGATGCTACTTTGAAGGTGTGGAAATCTTAGTGCTCGGGGGAGTCGGGGAATCGGGGAATCCCTGGGATGAGGAATGGAATGATAAGTGAATCGAATGAGGGATGGAGCCTGCCTGGAAAGATGGGATGGTATCAATTGGATGGTAGTTTGAGATGGGTCTGATTGGGGGATATTAAATGAAAGGGTTGATGTGATATTATCGATCAATAGAAAATCTGAAGAGTGTTTGAAGTTCTTTGGGACAATCGGATAACCTCTTCCTCCAGCTTCATCTACATGCGACTTTTTAGACTGGGACTATATCGGTCACCGTATATAAATATAAATATTATTAGATATCTCTTCACGACCAACACACCCAGCCACCAAACCTCCCCGACTTTCAGCCAAAAATGCGGCTCAAAGCAAGCCCGAGATTAAAAAGCTTTTGATTCACATTAAAAGTTCCACAATAATAAAGCTTGCTTTCATATTCACCCATGAATCCATGATACGAGTGGACTGTGGGAGCTGTAAAGTTTTTCCGGAAATGAATAGTGGATGGCGGAACGATGCGCACCAATAATCTGGAGAAGACTTCGAGAATCGGGGCACAGCGGGGGTAAATGGCGGGGTCCTTCCTCTTGTACCTTCTAAATCATACTAGGTATGTGACAGTGAATGTTAGGTATGATCTCGTGCCCCCTCCATGACCTCTACCTGGACATGACCTGACGGTTTGTGATTTCCTATTCGAATAACTCTCATTTCTTTTCATCCTACCAGAGCATTTATTATCACCTTCCAGATTTACAGTCTCTCAAAATTCCAAGTTCGTAAGTTCGCATCAATCCATACCGACAGGCCCGCCTCCTAGACACCCCTACCTCTCGATAACCAATAATCTACAATGGCTGGCATCGTACCTGTCGCAAAGTCTCTCAAAGATATCTATACAGAAGATGCCTTGGCTGCACAAACCGATAGATGGCATAATCTCCTCAAGCAATTCAAGAGCAATTATGGACACGATGCGCAGTTCGTTTCACGATCCCCGGGTCGCGTTAACATTATCGGCGAGCATATTGATTACTCTTTATACTCCGTCCTACCTATGGCAATAACTGCAGACGCCTTACTCGCAGTTTCTACCGAAATCGATGGATCTGCTTCAACTAGTACGACGTTCAAAGTGCGAATCTCGAATGTACAAGCGGATAAGTTCCCAGCTCATGAATTCGATATACCATTCGATGCAGTGGAGATTGATTCAAAGGTACACGAGTGGACAAATTACTTGAAGTCTGGACTCCGAGGAGCTTTGCAGATATTGAGGAAGAAACATGGAGACGGCTTCAGACCCAAGAGCATGGAAGTTTTGATGGATGGGACTGTGCCTGCTGGTGGTGGATTAAGTAGTTCTGCTGCTTTCACTACAGCTTCTGCTCTCGCGGTTATGTTTGCCAATGGAGAACAATCTGTTGATAAGACACAACTCACAGAGTTGGCAATTGTTAGCGAAAGAGCAGTAGGTGTCAACTCGGGTGGAATGGATCAATCCGCATCGGTTTTCTCTATTCGTGGGTCGGCATTATACGTTTCCTTCAACCCAACCCTGACAGCTAAACCCATCCACTTCCCAAAAACGAATCCTGAGCTCACATTTGTTATCGCACAATCATTTGTCGCAGCGGACAAGCATGTCACTGGCCCAGTATGTTATAATTTGAGGGTCGTAGAATGTAGTCTAGCGGCAGCCTATCTTCATGCCGCTATCAACAAATCTAACGAGCCTCTTCCTTCCGACTCCGGACCACTAGGTGTCTCTCTCCACGGCTTCCATAGCAAATATCTTGGCAATTCAACCGCACCACTCGAAGAACAAATTTCCGAACTTATTGAAATCACAAAGAAAACATTCACCAAAGAAGAGGGATATACCAGGGAAGAAATTGCTTCCGTCATAAATATGACCGTCCCTGAATTGAACGAGCGCTTCACCTCTACCTTCCCCGTCCGCGCTGAGCATTTCAAACTTCGACAAAGAACTCTCCACGTCTTCACCGAAGCTCTCCGGGTCTTAAAGTTTATGAAAGTCCTCGAACATCCCGAATCTTATCTGCACGCGGACAGTGGTGATTCCACGGAAACTTTCAATAGAAAACTCGGTGATCTCATGAACGAAACCCAGACCAGTTGTAGAGAAGACTTTGACTGCAGTTGTCCGGAATTAGATGAACTATGTGAAATAGCAAAGAAAGCGGGGAGTTATGGAAGTAGATTGACTGGCGCGGGATGGGGTGGATGCTGTGTACACTTGGTACCGGCGGATAAGGTTGATGTGGTGAGAGAGGCTTGGGATAGAGAATACTATTCGAAGAAAGATTTGTCGAAAGAGCAGAGGGATGCAGCAGTTGTGGTTAGTAAACCTGGTAGTGGAAGTGCGGTATTTGTTGTCGAAGAGGGAAATGTTGCCTAGATACCCACCTGTGATTAAAAGATGATAAAGCCTTGCAGTGTTAATACCCATTAGAATGCATTTCAGTTAATTCCTTATAGATATTGTTGTATTCAGATGAGTTTTGTGATAACACATAATTTAATGCACAGATGCATAACTCGCTAGCCCATAAACGTGCATAATTTATGCATAATTCTGGAACATTGGATTGATTCGCTCATTGTCCTTCATGCTTGAAATCATCAAAACGCATCACAAAATGGAAAGCGCTTCATCAGACGGAACAGGAGGGAAGAAACATGTTAGGCAGTCTTCTTCAGGGAGAGGTAAGCTTTTTGTCCTTTGTTTCTTGGGTTATTGAGATTGGGGGAGTGTCGAAACTTGGTGTCTTGAAGGCCGCCACTAAGGGGTTACGAATCTTGTCGAGAATGGCAGCGGTTAGGTTCGATGAAATGTTGCGACTGTGTACGGGTGTTTAAAAGATAGGAAAACAATCCATGAAAGTGATGTTGTTGGTTTTATCGCAAAGTTCGTGCAAGTGCGCGACTTTAGTGAATACGGAACCTAGATGCTGGCTCGTCGGCACGTGGCTTCCCAAGAAAGATGCCATATTGAATAGTTATCGGTGCCTGTTGTTGGACACAACTTCAATGTTTTGTTTTGTTTACATCTTTTTTTTTCATTCAATATTAAGAGTGTGTTTGTATGATGGATCAAAATAACCATTTGGCTGATTACTCAAAAGCTTTGCCCAGACGGGCGACAAGAGGTCCACTGGATATCAACGAGTGCGTATTATTCCCATGTATGAGAGCACGATGCTAAAATTAAACAGCTCCCCTCTGAATAGTCCTTTGTCCCCTACAAATTATATCAATACCACACGATCCCTCTCACCGGGTGGTCCAGCGCCAAGAAGTCGGACACCTAGGCTTCCATCACCAGGTCCAGGTTCGAATCTATCATCCAATACCTTCATGACAGCTCCAACGTCACTTTCGCCCTCACAAAACACGTCATTCCAATCGACTGTATCGACTCTTCAGAAAGATTTCTCCTACCTCCTCCGCCCAGAAATCTACCATCCTCTACCTGTCCTCGAAATCCCCCTACCATTTCGGTCCTCCCCAGCTTCATCTCTCCCACCTAACCCCGACACCAATACCCTTTCATCACTTCTAGCTGCAGGCTATTTTCGAGCTGCAGCCATTCTCAGTGCCACTCTTTTAACATCCAATCCTGGCCCCGCGTCACATGATGAAATCTTCAACCTGTTCTACACCCGCCTCGCCTGTCTGACACTCTGCAATCAGACCCAGCTAGCGGCCCAGGAAGTCAAAGCTCTCGAAGATCTTAATGCTGCCTACTACCGTGATGATGAAACAGGTACTCATATGGTAGGATGGGAATTGAGAGTTCTAGCAGTTAGATTGCAGGGAATGGGATTAGGAGATGCTAGGAGGGGTGTTATGGGGTATTATGATTTGGCCAGAGATGCCAGGAATACGTTGACAAAATTGAAGAAGCGGAAAGCAGCTGGTGAGGATGTGGATGGGGAGATTGAACTATGGGAGGGGAGGTTAGCGGATCTTGGGATTAGAGTTGCAAGTGCGCTCATTGAGATGGAAGATTTGGTGGGGGCGGGGCTGCATTTGAAAAGTCTAAAGGTTAATGAAGACGGGGATGAGGAATTAAGGGCTAAGAAAGCGTTGTTGTGGCTATGCTTAGGGGACATTGATGCTGCGAGGGGGTGTCTCAAGAAGGGCAATGGGGATGAATTTAGGGCGATTGAGATAGATGGAACGATCAGGGCCCTGGCATTTGTTGCTGAAGGGAGGTATGAGGAGGCTGTTGTGATATGGAAAGAACTTATCGCAAACGAGGAAACTAAGGCAGGAAAGGGTGAGAAAGCTATGTGGAGACAAAACCT